TAAACCACTCGAGGAGATTTCATCGGTGACCAATCGTGTGGTACACCACATAGTCACCCGCGGACCACCAGTCACGGCAAGACCACGCCGACTGGCACCGGACAAATTAGCTTTCGCTAAACGTGAGTTTGACAATTTACTATCTTCTGGTATTATTCGTCCTTCTCACAGTCCTTGGGCCTCTCCTTTACACATGGTGCGCAAAAAGGATGGGGTTAGTTGGAGACCATGCGGCGACTACCGAGCATTAAACGTAGTTACGCGCTTTGATAGCTACCCCATCCCCCACATACACGACATCACGGCATCGCTCAAGGGCACGACTATCTTTTCTAAAATCGATCTGGTACGAGCATATCACCAGATCCCAGTCGCTCTTGAAGACATCGAAAAAACTGCTATCACGACTCCTTTCGGTCTGTTTGAGTTCCTACGAATGCCATTTGGATTACGGAATGCTGCTCAAACTTTCCAAAGGTTTATCGATAGCATAGTACGAGACTTGGATTTTGTTCACGTCTATATTGATGACCTGCTGATCGCATCATCAAACGTAGATGAACATTATCAACACCTTACGCTATTATTCCAACGTCTTTCGGATAATGGAATAGTAGTCAACCCAGAAAAATGTGAATTGGGTAAATCAGAAATAATATTTCTGGGTCACATCATCAGACAAGAGGGTATTCTGCCTTGCGAGGACAAAGTTCGAGCAATCAAGGAGTACAACGTGCCGTCCTCAATCAAGGAACTGAAGGCTTTTCTCGGTTTGGTTAACTTCTACCGACGTTTTATCCCTCACGCGGCAGAACGGTTACGACCATTAACCGATTTACTACGCGGTAATCCACGCAAACTAGAATTGAACGATACCGCACGTACTGCATTCTCAGAGATCAAAACGGCTCTCGCTGAAGTTACACTTCTCGCTCATCCTGACCCATCAGCCACGCTTAGTATAGCGGTTGATGCATCGGATTTTGCCATAGGAGCCGTTATGCAACAGAATATCTCCGGTAGTTGGCAACCGCTTGAATTTTTCTCACGACGCCTTACTCCCACGGAGACGAGATATAGCGCTTTTGGTCGCGAGCTGCTTGCAGCCTACTGCGCCATCAAACATTTCCGGCACGCAGTAGAAGGACGTCAATTCATTTTATTCACCGACCATAAGCCCTTAACGTATGCTCTGCATACCAAGTCTGACCGCTACTCACCACGAGAGTGCAGACATTTGGACTATATCTCACAGTTCACGACAGACCTTCGTCATATTAAAGGCGAGTCGAACTACGTTGCCGATGCTCTATCACGTATCCAGACGAATGCAGTTACCTTACCGGTGCTCGATCTTCCTGCTATGGCCGCCGCGCAAGCAAACGATCCTGTCTGTACAAAAGCACCACAATCTTCGTCCCTTCAGTGTCAGGAAGTACCCCTAGCTACTAGCTCAGGTACTATCCTATGTGATATTTCTACCGGTCTACCTCGACCCATCGTACCCTCTACCTATCGCCGTCTCGTCTTCGATGCCCTCCATGGATTGTCTCATCCAGGTATCGCAGCCACATTACGCCTCATCGCTGCACGATACGTCTGGCCGTCCATGAATAAAGATGTTCGTATGTGGGTAAAGCAATGCTTACAGTGTCAACGATCAAAAGTGCACAGGCACGTAGCTGCCCCCATTGGCACGTTCGCTACGCCTGATGCTCGCTTTGATCACGTTCATATAGACATTGTAGGACCATTGCCACCATCGCATGGGTATGATCACATACTCACGTGCATTGACCGTTTTACAAGATGGCCCGAAGCTATTCCCATCACGTCTATCACGGCGGAGACAGTTGCTCACCGCTTCGTAGAACGATGGATAGCATTGTACGGTTGTCCCTCGACTGTCACGACTGACCGAGGACAACAATTTGAGTCCGCATTATTCTCCTCACTGACCCGGCTGCTTGGTACGGAACGCATACGCACTACCGCCTACCATCCAGCATCGAATGGTTTAGTCGAAAGGTTTCACCGCCAACTTAAAAGTGCTCTCCGAGCACACGAAAACGACAATTGGTACGAAACCTTACCGCTCGTTCTCTTAGGCATCAGAACGAGTTTGAAGGCAGATATCCAATGTTTCGCCGCTGAACTTGTATACGGCACGACATTGCGTCTGCCTGGGGAATTCTTCACACCACGGAGCAGTAATGATTTCGGTAAATCAGACTACGTCCATCGACTGTCTGCATTTATGCGAACGCTGTCTCCGGTGTCAACTCGAATACAACATCGACAGGTCGCTCTCCCTCGAGAGTTATCTACCTGTTCACATGTTTTCATACGAGTAGATTCGGTACGCAAACCTCTACAACAGCCTTACGAAGGCCCTTTTCACGTGATCTCTCGTCACGAAAAGACCTTCAAGGTTGATCGACACGGCCGCGTCGAGATCGTCAGCATTGATCGTCTCAAACCAGCACACGTCGATGACAGTGCCCTACCCAATAACTTGAGACTCAATGCTAGACCTACCAAACCTTCTAGCGGGATCTCTACGTCTACCTCGGATCCCACGCTAGATACATCAGAGACCTCGTTCTCACGTCCCGGTCAACAGCACGCGTCATCTGCACCATCTACGGACGAGACTTCCGTCTCACGTCCAGATCGGCAGACCACGCCGCCCTTGACCTCGGATGAGATCGCAGGCTCACGAAGTACGAACGAGACCACCGTCTCACGTTCCGGTCGCCGAGTACGATTACCCGTACGCTTTCGCGACTAAACGCACAGTCAATAACGGATACGGTGTAGGATTATTCCTATATTACACGCATGCTACACTTTTCTTTTTTTGATTTTTTTTTGTATCCTGAGCACACGCCTCCGACCATCGTCCATTTGATAACGTCGACTTCAGTCAACTTTGGCGAAAGCTGGTTTGGCCACCCACGCTCTAGTCAACGTACTCAGTCGATTATCTGGTCTCGAATCCGCCTGGCATATGCTTGGTAGTTATGGTCGCGTCCGGTTTCTTGGCTCAACGTGGTTTCGTCCTACGTCTGCAGCGTTTTCTGGTCCACATCCCTACGAACGCAATCTTCAGATCCTGGATACAAACCACTCTGGTGTGGTATGCTAACTCGACCAACAAATACAGCACACTTCTCCTGGTACCGTTCTGCGCAAAAGACTTTCGTTGGCAACTCGAGGATCAATGATCACTTCCTGTTCCGCCAATTTCCTCCGTCCTACAAACGCAATTCTGCCGATCAGTCCCACGAATCAAACCGCTAACTATCGAAAGTGTAAACCCTTTCTAGCGGGGGGCTCCTGTAGTGACCTACTTTTGTCAACAGAACACGATTGGTTCGATGAAAACAATTATTATTATAACCAATTGTACCAGTGACTGTTTTACTGTGCTCGTTTGTTTAACTGTGCTAAGAACAGCCATTTTGGGCTTCCATTGTATTCCATTGCTTTTACGCGGTTTTTGGACTACGCACGTATCTTGCCGTTCGCAACTGTACTCCTTTGGCACGATCTCGGTATTCTTTCGATACCACGAGATCGCCAACAAATATATACGACTACTACAATCATTTGCCTTCTGATATTTTGGCCTATCGGAATTTTATTGGTCTATTGGCAAGTAGTCTGGTAGCGGTGTTCATAGTTCAGCTCAACTCGACACCACGCTACAAGCTGTCACACATGAAACACACCCAGTGAACAATAACCATCCTGAAAATAAGTCTTATAGGTCTTTCAAAGTCTCGATTCCGAGTTTTCACTTCTTGTTGACGATCTCGCGGTATCGAAAGAATACCGAGATCTCGCCAAAGGAGTACAAGCGGATTCACTGAGCAAACGTGAGCGCATACAATTCTGTCCACATCTTTTGTAGATGCGCCCAGTGAAATATTGGCTATTATCAGGTTACTTCACTTTTTAGTAAAAGAAATAGCTTTCTCTCATCCAAGACTGTCTAGAAGTAATTCTGATCTTCAGGTTATCTTTCTTGTTTGATTAGTTGGTCACAATTCCATAGCAACGTCCCACCATACATTCAACATCCGTACATTTTAGTGGAGTATAAGTGTTCATTTTTGACTGTACATGTCATGAAATTCATTAACTACACGTCCCTAAATATATTTTGTGCATATATTGCGAAAGAACACATGTGTCTTCAAAATGAGTTACTCCAACGGTTTTTATTTCAACTAGGAATCACTTCTTATAAATGTAGGACAATTTAGTCCTGAATTTGTAACAAAATCGATGAAAATTGAATTTTGGCCTCTGAAAACCGGTGAAAATGTTGGATGAAATTCGTAAATATCTTCCAGTAAAAGTCACGCTCAATGAGAACAGAACGACACTTGGTTTTAATATGCATGAGCGAAAATGTCAAATGGTGAAGATAATCAGTAAAATTGTAGAAACAGTGATCGGCTTAAGTTTCCAGATCGATGAAGGAGTGATGTGAATGTGCTTTTCAATGCAGTTCCCATATCTAATCAAGTCTTTAAGACAACATTTAACATTACCTGGTCTCGATTGATGTTCTTTGTAGGTTTGCATTTTAACTTGACCGAAGGAAGACCTTTATCCAAGACGAAGTTTGTACAAAGCTTACTGAATGATCATGGCTGTTTCCTTGGTAAATTATTAAGATGATGACATCAATCCACCGTGGAAAAATACTTTCTGTTTTTTTAAATTGAGTTCGTTCTTTTTTACACAGTAATTTGTAAGCATTTTCACTTAAAAAACCAACTCATCAGCCATAATCTGTAAAAACGGAGGCTTTATGACCTCTGACAACTTTTAAATTTTGTGATGCAAATATTACAGTATAAGTTACTGACCTCTCACAATTTAACGGGAGCGCAGTTTTCAAGCCCGGAGCTATTGTGTCACTGGATGTTACTTGTTTGGCGACCGAATATATTATTACGTATTTTCGCTTCTACCTCTTCCGCCAATTGTATGCAAGGATTTTTATTACGGTTCGTAAAAACATTGAGAAGCTGTTAATTCACACTTGCCCGACATGTTTATTTTGTAGATTACAGTATTTACGGTATTTTAGCATTAAGCCTTTAAGATCAATAAGTTATGCTCAGGCTTTCAAGTCTTTCCAGGCATGAATGTGATCTTAGCTTCATTAGATATAGTTTGGGGGATGTAACCTGATCCGAGCATTTTTCTCTCGAGAGAAAAATGTTGGTTAATTGCAACTGCATCAACCCAATCACTCCTCACATCACTCACTGTATGCAACCATTGATTATAGTCATACAAAAGTACTATATGGCAACATCAATCTATCCTTTTTTCACCTCCAGTTTTCTCTAACATTGCATTGGATACCTGGGTAGGTGGTCTTTGTCCAACCACACATCTCCCAACTACCATGGTGATTTATAATCTCATCAGTTGACTCGGGTTTTTATCGAGCAACCTGCCTTTAACTTATTCGTTAGTTGCGCTCAACTTCATCAATGTTTTGAAGACCCACGTTTTCATCATTTATGTGCAATATTTCACAGCTGTAATTTGTAACAGAGTGGATCGTACTCACCTCTTTGTTTGATAGGGATCTCACTTTCACTAACGATGGCTAAGGTTGTTAAAAACTAAGTGGATTTTTTATTTCGATCGTGGTTTCGCTAGCTTTCGGAGTGTTAGGGTTTCCAAGACAACTGAAGTGATCGGAGCACTTAACTACTGCAGTCGGCCGAAAAATAGTATCTACTTAAGTTAATTACTAAAGGTAATAAGTGACTTGTAATATGTCAGCGAAGTGTTGAATGTCTCCTGCAAACTAGTTGGTGATATATGTCAGTCAACCGCGTGTTTGTTTTAGCCGATAACGCCAGTATAGCATTCATACTACTAATAATAGTGATGTGAACATGTTTTCGGTTACCTCCCAATTGTTTTAAGGTACTATACTCTTGATTTTTAATCGCTATGTTGTTTATGATATGTTTCCCTTTTTTCCTTTCACTTTTTCAAAGATGGCTATTATAATTCCGAGAACAGGGTCACATCTTACACTATTTACTCGCTGTTTGTGCAGCAATTTTCGTAGATGCTCTTCCGTCAGCAATACATATCTACCTGCTCCAAGGACTCAGATTTATTCCCATTTTGAACAAGTGTCTCAAATGTCATCAGTTATTGGCAAATTTACAACCTATTCTGAAAACGAGTTTTCCCTTTTCATAGAACCATTTCTCAAAGTCGAGTTAGTAGAGGAACTTAAAACCTTTGGTGATCTATCACTTTTAATTCGGAAACCAACAATTGACATGATTAAGGACGTAATTAACATTCGAGATTTGCAGAAAGAAAGTTTCAAAAAAGAACCTGACTCCTCTAAATTCGTCGCACTAGCTAAATACTGTGTTCCACGCTTTGTACTTTATGGTCAACCGGGGACTGGTGTTTCAGTCATGTTGGGACAAATTACGTGTTTCGCCGGTAGAGAAAAATGGCTTATATTTCCGTTCACCAGTTGTGAAAATTTACTGGAACCATCAAATGACATTGCTCCTAGCAATGAGTATCACTATAACCAACATCGTGAGAATTTTGCGGGTGATGCTTTTGATTTCCCAGCTCGTTCTGCTGAATGGCTTAAAGTCTTTTTACAACTTAACCGACCTTTGTTTGAAAAGGTATCTATCATTTTATTATTTTATCTCCCACATGTTAAAAGTGTTTTCTAAAAATTCTATGGCAGTATTAGGATCTTGATACCTCGAGTTTTTGCTTCATCGATCAAAACTGTAAAACCTGTTTTTGTCAATAAAGTGTTTATTAGTACATTGATATAAGTAATATGATATTTGGTAGGTAACTTGCGGAGGCAGTTTGGGAATGTGTTTAATTTTGAACCACTATCTGCTTCGATTGCGATGTTTTCTGCAATAAATATAAAGTAGGGGAATTTAAACAAAAAGCCAAAATAAAATACTAGTGGTTAAAGTTAACGACTACTGTTTTAAACTGTAGTTGTGAGACTCGAATATTGAGCTCAATAATTACTGGAAGCTCATAGTCGATCTCAAAAAGAATGGACTAAAATCGACCTCATCAGCTTATTAATCTTCTATATTGCAACTTTTGGTTCATTTTATTACGTATTATCCCTATTTTCTCATGACTTTCAAGTTTTGGTGACTTTAGTCTTATCGTTGACTTTTACTCTGGAATATTTAGGTATCTAGAACTGTATATTCGACTCATTTATTATCTCCTCAGGTTTTGCTTTCAACTTGTATCTTCTTAATCCCACTGACCAACTCCACAATAAAGAATCTAGTTACCACGTATTACATTTTTAAGCTAACCTAAAATTTGCTCCTATCGGGCATTCGCACGTATTATTTAAAATGTTGATGATAAACATGTAGTGTAAAATACTCCCAAATTATTTTATGCATCATCTATCTCTGTCTTGCAAAGCTGGCTTACATATGAGTATTTTAAAAGGAAACTAGGGGCGAACAACGATGGGGTCACTGACATTTATCATGATTTGTGTTAGGGGTTGCAGGCTTCTTGTTTGAATGGATGTGCGATGCTAATCGTAATATTTAAGTTATCTAGCTCGATTGGGATTATTTTCATTATTTGAACACTTAGATATTGGTACAAGATGGCAGCAAATATATATGCGCCACACAAAATTTTGTGTGTGGGCTGTGATACTGTCCGGGTGCCCTAATCGGAGCAGGTGGTTTTCTTAGGGGGCCACACCCCGAGCCTTCGACCTGAAGATTTGATCCACAAGACAGTGGAGCATCGTGAGGAGATGCAGTCCCATGGTAGCCAATGACCAACGATTGGTTCATACGCCATTTGTTCCTTCAGGATACTGGAGCCCATGTGCACCATTGGTTTGGGATCCGGTTAAAGCGTCGGGTATTCGCTTTTCGTCCTCTCATTTTCGTAGACAACACCCCCGCCACGAGAAGGCAGTGAGTAGGACGTCCTGGCAGAGGCTGTAAACGCATGGCCATGTGAGAGCATTTCGAGAGGGAGCGCGGGCCCACCCCACTCTCGGCCATACCAGGGCATTTGGGGGCTCGATTGGGATCGTTCAAACACACGTATTTTTAAAAACTGAACTTCGTGTCTTTATATTGTCCTTCACTTTTCACTCAACCTTATTATCAAACCATATTTGATATGTTTGGTTTTCTTTACTATTGTAAATATTACCATTACTTTCATTTGTTTGCTTTACATTTTGTTAATTTCTGTTCTTCGTGCTTATGTATTATGTCAGTTTGAACCGGTGAGCATTTATTTCAGGTCAAATATGACAGCATTCCCCAATTTTTTGACGTTTTAGTCAATACAAACAAGTAGTTTCCGTCTTGACACCTTAAGAATCAAGTTTTGTTTAAATTACATTGAAATACAATTTTATATAATTTTTCCATCTTTTGATCACTTACTTAAATACCTGTTCTTGATAAGTTCATTGTCTCGAGTGACCAATAACTACTAATGCTGTGAAGTTCGTCTGCCAACATGGTCTTAATATTAAGCTAGAGACTAATTGTCAGTCTTGCTGTACATAACAATAAAAGTTATTGAACTTTTTGTACTTCATTACATTAAACTCAGCTTCATTTCATCTAAACTGCGATTGGAATAGAATCATACAAGGGATCCATGCAATTAAATTTTAGAATAGACTTAGCTAGCAAGTCATAAAACCTTGCGATTAAAGTGAAACCGTGGCAAATTTAGAACTTAGACGATTAGTTCAGAGTATCAAATACCACACTAAAGATCCATTCACATCACTAGTTCGATCCTAGCAGGTTTGCATTTTCGCCACTTACCACTCATATAATACATATCAAAATTTGTTACTTAGTCATGTTCATCGAGTGATATTAGTTAACCACAGTACTACATATTTCGTGGCCTGATTTTAATTTCAGATTTGACTAATTAACATCGCACCAGTTTGTATTGGGCGTGAACCTTTGGTAATCATATTTTTAGCTAAAAATACATTTCATTTCTTTAAATAGTCCTACAGATAAACCTTTAAAGAATATTCACATAATTTTTCCAATGATTATCACTGTCGAAAGTTATCTTTTTTATTTAGTTAAAACCAGTTGTATCTCGACAAGTAGAATGGACCAAAAAAGACGTAATGCCAGAAGGAACATCCTGGGTAGATTTAATAAATTTTGGCATCGCCAGGACCAAATACGCAACGGATTGTATTGGAATTTTATTAAGAGAGGTAGTTCATTTGGTTGTTTTTCTCCACATAATTAACATTAAACCATGGAAGTAGAACGTATATTGTAACTATCTAATAAATTTCCATAGATGGTTGAAAATGACACTTCAAATAAACTGTATAATATAGGTACAGTTTCGAATCTGAGACTAAATGAACAGTGCGATTGCTCGATAGTGGACATGGCGTTGATATTCAGAAAATTTTCAAAATAATCAATAAGAGAAGGGATTCAAATTTGTGACTGTTTACCGAAGCTGTTGTAATAAAAAGATATACGTCAAAAATGTGCATCTAAAAAATATATCTTGTTTTGCCCCGGTGACCACGTTTTGTGAGGTTATAGCGCAAGATTTTTCCATAACTTTGATGATAATTTCTTATATCTTAATTCTTACTTCAGCGGTTTACTCAACTAGTCTGTATCTTTTTAAGTAATTATTACATAATCTATCTTCGATTTCGAAACAAATTCCGTCCCCAAGATTTTTTGAATATTCATATGTTTAACCCATTAATATGCCAACGTACGGATGATGTTAATTCTTCCATATTACTGTCTCATACTTTTATTCTACCTCCACATGTTAACTCAATTTATTCAAGACGTTCGCAACATAAAGTACGTACTCTTCTCTCAGTTTGATGATTAACACTGTAGTTCTAGCTTGTAGGCAGCTGAGTAAAAAAAGGATTTATGTCATTCTGCTACGATATTTGTCCTTTCTCTATTCAAATTATGACAATATTTCATAAATTTGCTATTAGTATTTTCTCTTTTATTCTGCTTCTTGTCGTTTTCTCTCTTCGCTTTTGTAAAGTTTAGTAAATTGAACCGGTACATATTCGCATCAGGTTTTTCGTTGTTTTGGTGTAGTTAGTTTGTCAAAAAATTTAGCGGTTATGTGTAAATCTTGGTTTTTTCGAACTCAAGCCATTTCCAAAGAATTTGTTTGCTACAAACCACCCAGTAAGACGTTTTTTCGTAGGTGTTATAAATCATTTCTTAATTTGTGGTTGGTTGTTATGCCTTCAACCTCGAGACCAGCCATTGACTTTTGGCAAACTTTACAAATTTACATTCTTGTTTTCATAAATCTGACACTAAATGCAAGTGACTCAAAATATTCTTGAACCATATCATTACGCTCTTTTTATGTCACATGAACTTATTTCGAGGTTTTATTTGTACAATTAACTTAGTAAACATCCGGATCATATATTTTCAGATGCGTCTACTATCATCTACGCCTGATGGCCCTCCTTGTTTATTGGTCATCGATGGTGTAAATTTCCTGTGGTGTCGCGGTACTTTATTAAAGGATAAAACTCTTTCGGTTAATGTTACTACCGACCGATTGGCAATTGTACATCATTTGAAACGTGCATTGAGAGGAGACTGGCGTCATGGTGTCATAGTTACCTCTACAAATATTCGGGCGGCTTGGCCTACAGACAGAGAACAATATACTCCTGGGTAAGTAAATAAGCGTAGATTACATTTTGCCATTCCTCTTCAACTTTGACATCGATGACATTCTGGAAACAGCTCTGATGGATGTAAGTAATGTTGGTGTAGATCTGTTGCCTGGAGAAAGACTTCTCGACCATGAGTATGCGGATGATATTGTCTTACTGTGCGATAATGTCCAAGCCATGCGATCCGCACTTAATCAGTTGGCAATCAATGTCTGTAGGTATGGTATGTGCTTCGCACCTTCGAAGTGCAAAGTACTTCTACAAGACTGGCAGGATTCTAATCCTGTACCCACTCTGGATGGTGAGCAGATAGAAGTAGTCGAGAAGTTCGTGTATCTAGGTAGCTGCATAAATGCTGGTGGTGGTGTGAGTGATGAGATCAATGCACGTATAGTGAAAGCCAGAGCGGCTTATGCCAATCTGGGCCACCTTTGGCGCCTTCGTGATGTTAGTCTGGCTGTAAAAGGTCGGATCTACAACGTGACGGTGAGAGCAGTTTTGCTCTATGCTTGTGAAACCTGGCCTCTCCGAGTTGAGGATGTTAGACGACTCTCTGTGTTCGATCATCGTTGTCTCCGAAGGAGTGCTGACATTCAGTGGCAACACCATGTTAGTAATGCAGAGGTTCGGCATCGTGTGTTCGGTCACAGAGACGATAATGAAATTGGTGTCACCATCTTGAAACACCGACTTCGGTGGCTTCGACATGTTCTACGAATGTCGTCCCAGAGAATTCCACGTCGTTCACTATTTGCCGACCCTGGGACTGGTTGGAAAAAGCGGAGAGGTTGTCAGTATATGACATGGTGTCGTGGTATGAAAGAAAGCTGCAAAGGGCTAGCTTCGGTTGGTCCTTCACGACTCCCTGGCTGGAGTCCGAGAGATGGTGTAACACAGTGGCTAGAGACGTTATCAGATATGGCTAAGAATAGAAGCCAGTGGCGATCGTGCTGTAACCTTCTTTTACTTTCTTCATAAAAAGTGGTTGTATCTTCCTTAACTGAAAGATCTCTTCTGATTGTATCTTTTGGTTTCCCCCACCATTGTTCTCTCTCTCTCTCCCTTTTTTTTTTATAATTCCCCACGTTCATTACTTTTTTTTTCTATTTCCTCCTTCTCTTCAAATTATCATTGTTTTGTGTGGCGCATATATATTTGGTGCCCCTCTGTACCAATATTTATGTGTTCAAATAAATAATAAATGAATAAATACATTTTGCCTAGCTGTGATCTCTGTGGTGTGCGTTGCTGATGTCGACAGATATAAGTAGTGTATATCATGAATCGAAAGTGAAATGCCTGGCGGCAGAGGATTAAGAACATCGAAGAAAGGAGAATGAGAACATAGAATGATTGGTGTGGCAACGAAAGAACATTCAAGTGTTAGAGATTGATTGACGTTTTGCAAATGAGGTATTTACTGTATGGTTCTCAGATTTTACTAAGACTTTCTGTAATTTTGTACTCAAATACACTCGGTTGTCCCCACTTGTGTTCTCGTTCACTACAATACTACCGAGCTATCCAAAAAGAAGTAGGTGCATTGGGGTTCGAACCTCCAACACGGTATCTAAAAGTCGAACCACTGAACCGCTTCTTCAGTAGATCAATTCAGTTAGCCGGTATTAGAATAGAAACTACAAATTATTAACGTCTAGTCTCAATATACAATAAATTAAATTGGTTTATAACTAAACTTGACCTGCTGTATAGGAAAATTCACAGTGGAATATATGTTTGGTAATACCATTTACACTGCTTCACACGACTGACAGCAACGTTGCACCTTTGAAGATGCGAATATAGAGAGGTAATAATTTCCTGTTTACCCATTTCTTTGTTTGATTTTCTAATTATTTCGATATTACTAAATATATAACAGTTTGTTCCTTTACATTTGTAACTATTTGGGCTGTTAGTTATACGAATGAATGATTACTAATTTCCAGTAAGTCTTGTCTTGTTTTAGTGACCATTGTTCTAGCAGTCATTTGTATTTTAATTAAAATATGAAAGTGAAACCGAATCTTTTCGTATGTGTTAGAGACTTTGAAGCATAAACTTTTTTAGCAACTGCATTATCATTTATTTTCTACAATCTTACATTATTGACCAATTTTTACACTCAGTTGATAGTACATTAAAATCAAATATTATAGTTTCTGATGTCTTTATGAGAATAGACTTCAGATATGTGTTTCGTGATATATTTTTGTTATATCCCGATGAGAATAATGAATAGTAACTTTTCGGATCCATTTATAGACCAATACTATACGTATATTTTTATCATATAATTGATAAAGAACTAAACTATTCATATTCGTGTTCCTCTTATCATAAGCTTTATTTTGACCTATGAACTACTATTATACGATTTACCATTCTTGAGTTATGCCCTGTCTATCAATCTCCCTTATTCACAGCCACATTTGGCTAAATTACGTACAAATGCTGTTTCCTATTTTATGGCACGATGTGATCTTTTTGGTTGGTATTTAAACCCAATTTGTTTGCAATACATCATTCATATCGCAAAGGCTGAGATTGGTGTTTAAATGTTTATCATACATATATACGGTTGATTGACGAGATATAGAAAGCATTGATTCAGTACTACTGTCTGCACATTAGACCGAGAACTTGTCTTTTATTACGCCTTAACGAAAGATCTGTGTTTATTTTAGTCAAATATTACTTGGTGACTTATTTTGTCCACCACAGTATTATTTAGTCAGAAAATTATTGGTGAGAAACGTGTCAATCTTAACCAGACAAATTCTTTTGATCAGATTTTGGGATAATTATTAATCACCTTTTTTCAGTTCAAATGTAAATCGGTTGAAATTGTATTACTTTAAAACACTACAATAAAAAAATAACAATAAAAATAATTAAATATTAGAGTGCAGTGAAGTAAGAAGAAAATGAAATGGATACCAAATGGGCGTAAAAAATGTTTAAAATTTATAAAGACATTGATTAGATTCATCTGCATCAATGCTTGAGGTTTTGAATTATATCCATTATTACTATCATCATCTCCGATTTTCTTTGGAAGGTGATCTGAGGTAGCAATCTACACTTGGACTCGCTATTGGAGCCCATACATGAAAAACTAAAATTTAAATAGATGGACGGAATGTTGACTGAAAATGAAACATGAACTAAACATTCAATAGAAAATGTCGCTTCGTCGATTTTAAGTTAAATAACTTGTATCAATAGCAAACATAGTTGGACGCCTCATAGGGATTCATAGAAATTCCGGTTCATAAACTTGCAAACAATTAATATATTTGTAATATCCCAATGAGTAGAAAAATCAGATTTTCTGACGTTTCGTGACTCAGTGTAAGCCGCTTCTTCAGAGAATAAATAACCAAATCAGAATTAATCCAAGTTTAAATAGTACAACAGAACAACAAGAATATTATGTGTTCAATCAAAATACAGGTCTGAGCATATCAATGTCATGTCATTTCGGTCAAGGTTAGACTTGGATTAATTTTAATTTGGTTATTTATTCTCTGAAGAAGTGGCTTACACCGAGCCACGAAACGTCAGAAAATTTAATTTTTCCACTCATTGAGATATTACAAATATATTACTTATTTATACCAATTTACCCAATGCTCAATTTATTCGAAATTATCGAGCCAAACCTTGGTAACGATACCCTGCAAATAATTGATGCAAATCAGATTTACTGACGTTGAATTATATGTTGTATTAAGTAACCGGACAACCCACTGTTTGGGGAATCGATTCCTATTTCTCAAACAAATAATTATCAAGTCATAGGAAATATTGTGTTAGAATGAAGATTTATATTACTAAATACCAATGTATTTTATCATAATTATAAATTACTTATCCGATACAATATAACTTTCGAGAATAATTATGAAGGTCACAAAACAGCCAATGTGTTAGGTAGGATCTGTACCCATCAATTTTAATATTGTAGTTCTAAGTTTGGTAGTAACTCACTTCTGAACTTGAATTCAAAAATAACAAACACTTAATAATCACGAATTCTTTAGATGTTCGAGTAAATGTGTTTCAGCCATTTTTTCATCCTTCGCGTTTTGAAACACATATACTTGACCGATATAGAATAGACTTCACTTCGTTAATGGTAAAGCTCTATTGACAACCTTTAGATTTGAATACAAAATTATGTAGGAAATTATCTTTCGAAGCAATTTATTTAAATTTATATTTGTGTAGAGAGTTGTGAATAGTTGTTAACTAGAGTGATACCAATAAAGCGGTTTTACGAAGTGTCGTATGTTAACATTCTTTTTCCATTGTGTTATTAGCATACTCATATAGGCTGCTCCGCTTATTTATTTATTTGAACACATAAATATTAATACAAGGGGGCACCAAATATATATGCGCCACACAAAACAATGAGAATGGAAAAAAAGGTAAGGCGCGTAGGGAATTATAAAAAAAGAGAACAATAACGACCAGATTAGTGTAAGGTAGTGTAATAGTAGTAATAATGGGGGAAACCAAAAGATACAATCAGAAGAAATCTTTCAGTTAAGGAAAAAGCAACCGCTTTTTACGAAGAAAGTAAAAGAAGGTTACAGCACGATCGCCACTGGCTTCTATTCTTAGCCATATCTGATAACGTCTCTAGCCACTGTGTTACACCATCTCTCGGACTCCAGCCAGGGAGTCGTGAAGGGCCAACCGAAGCTAGCCCTTTGCAGCTTTCTTTCATACCACGACACCATGTCATATACTGACAACCTCTCCGCTTTTTCCAACCAGTCCCAGGGTCGGCAAATAGTGAACGACGTGGAATTCTCTGGGACGACATTCGTAGAACATGTCGAAGCCACCGAAGTCGGTGTTTCAAGATGGTGACACCAATTTCATTATCGTCTCTGTGACCGAACACACGATGCCGAACCTCTGCATTACTAACATGGTGTTGCCACTGAATGTCAGCACTCCTTCGGAGATAACGATGATCGAACACAGAGAGTCGTCTAACATCCTCAACTCGGAGAGGCCAGGTTTCACAAGCATAGAGCAAAACTGCTCTCACCGTCACGTTGTAGATCCGACCTTTTACAGCCAGACTAACATCACGAAGGCGCCAAAGGTGGCCCAGATTGGCATAAGCCGCTCTGGCTTTCACTATACGTGCATTGATCTCATCACTCACACCACCACCAGCATTTATGCAGCTACCTAGATACACGAACTTCTCGACTACTTCTATCTGCTCACCATCCAGAGTGGGTACAGGATTAGAATCCTGCCAGTCTTGTAGAAGTACTTTGCACTTCGAAGATGCGAAGCACATACGATACCTACAGACATTGATTGCCAACTGATTAAGTGCGGATCGCATGGCTTGGACATTATCGCACAGTAAGACAATATCATCCGCATACTCATGGTCGAGAAGTCTTTCTCCAGGCAACAGATCTACACCAACATTACTTACATCCATCAGAGCTGTTTCCAGAATGTCATCGATGTCAAAGTTGAAGAGGAATGGTGAGATTGGGCAACCCTGCCTAACCCCACTGCTCGAATGGAATAGTGGAGAAAGGTGGTTGTATGCCCTCACTCTGCCTGAGGTGTTTGTGTATAGGGCTTTTAGGATGTTAATAAACTTCTCAGGCACACCGTTCCTCAACAGACAATCCCAGAGAACAGTCCTATCCAACGAATCGAAGGCAGCCTTGATATCAAGAAACACTACGATTGTTGGCCTTTGATAAGTATGGCGGTGTTCTAACATTTGGCGGAGGGTGAAGATATGATCAATACATCCTCGACCAGAACGAAACCCAGCCTACTCCTCGCGAGTCAATCTTTCTCGGGTTTTGAACAACCTACGAAGTATAACGGAAGCCCGTAGCATGGACGCAGTCGGAAGTAGACTTATCCCCCGATGGTTGTTATAGGAACGACGTGAACCCTTTTTAAAGATAGGGACAACTATCAACTCATTCCATGACGTTGGTACACTCTCTAGTTCCCAGATTTTTGTAAACAACGTCGTCAGTCCCTTAGTCAGAAAGTCACCACCATCTTTAAAAAGAGCCGGAGGTAAGTCATCTGGGCCCGGTGATTTGTAACGTTTCAAGAGTTGGAGTTCCTTGCGAACTTCCGCCTCATTTGGTGGGCCAGTCGTCACCGGCCATGGAGGGCAGGACAGTCTGACCGATGTTGCCGGAGCAGCAGGCCAATTGAACTGCCCTTCGAAAAATTCTGCCCATCGTCCAACACGTCGATGGATGTTAGTGATTGGCGTTCCGTCATCCTCGCAGATTGTTTCGCTCACACCAGACTTCTTGCTGCCAGTGGCTCAGATGAGTTGGAATAGCTGTCGGTAATTACCAGATGCAGCTGCTGCTTCCGACTCATTATCACGCTCCGACCACCAGGCTTCTCGGTCCTTACGCAAACTTTGTCCAATTTCAGCACGTAACATCCTTCGTTTGTGGTCAAACTCACGGTCAACCGGAGTAGACCGACGGGCTTCAATCAGTTGTAAGGAACCAGAAGAAACCCAGTGCTTGTAAGCGGGACGTTTCGCGAACCCACAAGTGACTTTACTCGCCATTTTTATGGCGTCATGCAATTGCAACCAATGCTCATCTATACTTTTCGGTGGAATGGTAGCTAGTCTAGAAGCTAGCTCGGTTCGATACTTACTAGCAGCAGAAGTTGCAACCAACTTGCTAATATCAATCCTTTGGTGGTGGTCACTTAGTTGTCCACTGAAAAGTAAGGTAAGATTGGCGCAGACCAGGTCATGATCAGATTCCAGATAGGTACTCCAAAAGGAGCGGCAGTCTTGTACACAACCACGCCAGCGGTAGCTGATCGCGATGTGATCAATCTGAGTCCAGACTTGAGATGCAGAAGGGGGACGCCAGGTGGCACATCGGCGATGACTGTGCCTAAAGTTAGTGCTAGCCAGAAACAGGTTGTGGTCTGTGCATATTTCCAGTAGGCATTCCCCGTTATCTGTCCTGCGACCAACAAGTCCCCATCGGCCACCTAAACGACTCTCTTCTGTGCCTAGACGCCCGACCGGAGCATTCAAGTATCCGGCTAGTACTACAATATCTGTCGAACGCACTTTCTGGAGAAGAACAGTTAACTGGTGGTAGAATTCATCGTTGATTGCATCCGGGCTGCAATCTGTCGGGGCATAGGCGGAGATGACGAAAAGACATCGTTTCTCACGCCGATTTCTTCTCACTTTGATGGAACTTTCTAATCTAACAGCACATAACCGACTGTTAATGGAGATGCAATCGATTAGTGCTGCCTCAGCTCTAGCGCTTAGTGCGACACCAACGCCAGCAAGACCAGACGAAGATGCCACAGTGTCCCCGGATAAACGCACGTAAAACAAGCTTTTTGAAGCGACAGATGGAGAGCGAATTTGTAGTACTTCACCAAATGCCCTGGTACGGCCGAGAGTAGGGAGAGTCCTCGCGCCCTCTCGAAATGCTCTCACATGGCCATGCGTTTACAGCCTCTGCCAGGACGTCCTACTCACTGCCTTCTCGTGGCGGGGATGTTGTCTACGAAAATGAGAGGACGAAAAGCGAATGTCCGGCGCTTTGACCGGATCCCAAACCAATGGTGCACATGGACTCCAGTATCCTGAAGGAACAAATGGCGTATAAACCAATCGTTGGTCATTGGCTACCATGGGACTGCATCTCCTCACGATGCTCCACTGTCTTGAAGATCAGATCTTCAGGTCGAAGGCTTCGGGTATAGCCCCCTAAGAAAACCACCTGCTTCGGTTTTGGCACCTGGGCAGTATCACAGCCCTCACACATACCAAATGAGATTTGTGTGGCGCATATGTATTTGGTGCCTCCTTGTACCGATACCTATGTGTTAAAATAAATAAACTTAACCAGAATTTTAAATACGGGTCTCGGATAGACAACAAACGTCAATATTGAGACTTTCCAAAGACATAGCCAGCCCTATCTGTTGTCCGACCTGCATAAGTGTGCGAACGTTGAAGGCAGCCAGTTTGAATGGTGCATGTGGTTTCAGGGAAAGCGCTTCAGTACCCGTATTCGGTGGTAACATACAGTTTTTCAAACAGATAGTGACTCGAGAACGTTTAGATAGAGCCGAATTTCCACCATAGGCGAGCTGCTGTATAAGTCGAAAAATAAGGATTCATAAAGTGGGAGTAAAAGAGAGTGAATAAATGACGTGGTAAGTAATAATAATAATGCGGGTCATTTGTTTGTTAATCGGAGCGAAAAGAATATTTTCCATAAGTAGACAGTTCATCGTGTTTTTGTGTGTGTTCTGAGATACTGCCCGGGTGCCCAGACCGAAGCAGGTGGTTTTCTTTATTTATTTATTTATTTATTTTAACACATAAGTATAGGTACAGGGAGGCACCAAAATACATATGCGCCACACAAAGCTCAATTGATTTGTGTGAGGGCTGTGATACTGCTCGGGTGCCCAAACCGAAGCAGGTGGTTGTCTTAGGGGGCCACACCCCGAGCCTTTGACCTGAACGTCTGACCCACAAGGCAGTGGAGCATCGTGAGGAGATGCAGTCCCATGGTAGCCGGTGACCAACGATTGGTTCATACGCCATTTGTTCCCGCAGGATACTGGAGCCCATGTGCACCATTGATTTGGGGTCCGGTTAAAGCGCCAGACATTCGCTTTTCGTCCTCTCATTTTCGTAAACAACACCCCCGCCACGAGAAGGCAGTGAGTAGGGATCTGTTTGCCTCCGACGTTTAGCTATATTCACTGAGATATAACCCACCCTTGTTAAACACTGGGACACATTGAAGTACAACAGTGAGATTTCGTATATCTAAGATAAAAATACTTTTCAATTGTTCATGGTTTTCTAACCATTGTCTTGTCAGCTTTTGCTCATCAATTTTGTAAAAAGAATGAGGAATGATACATGAGTTCAGAGATCCCCCTCTTTGTGTTGATATAAAATGGGATCATTTTAAAACTACTAACAAATATAAGAAGAAAGAAACACTTTTTATTGAATTATTAATGCAATCAGATAAGTTATTGAGAATCAAGACAGTAAGTTGGTATTCTTACTTTGATTTTTCATGTGTCAATTATACACAGAACTAATAAAAGTATTATAATAATATACCTTACAAAATATCTTAATGATGTTTTTTTATCTTTGGCTTAAATAAAAAAATATCCAGTTATCTATTGGGAAAATCCGGTTTCGAATATATGGATCCATTCATTCCTGTTCTCGTTGAAAATTACACCCCAACAGAAATTAATGCCTTATTAAGATTTTATGCAGAGAATAATTGGCTTACAAATCCCGCCGCTTTTACACCAAATGGGCAAGCTGAATTAATATTTTTGTCTGATTACAATCCTCTAGAACTTAGCCGTTTGGCTGCTGAATGGTAGACTAATTGAATCCTTAGAATATTAACTGAGTTGAAAATTATTAACCCATTGTCTGTATATTTAAAAGACTAAATAACACTAATCTCTGTCCTCTTTTGAATTGGGTATTGTAAATATCAGTGAAATAATCCTTTAAATCTTTTGTACAGTTTTAACTTTCTGATATTTAGTAAAAAAAATAAAGTATTTTGATGCGACATATTTGTTCTCATTGTATTCGTTTATTCAGTTAAATAAAAATTGATATTAATTTTTTTATTGACTAAATAAATTCTTTTCACATGCAGTTTAGGTAATCTAAGAAATTCTTGCGAATTTCCAGTCGTTATTAGTTTTAGTTGCCTACTTTATATGTTTTCGATGCACTTCCAGTAATGCGTGTCTCCGCTGTGTGATTGTTAGATTTAACTTGATTCTATTTATGTTTGCTCATTAATGGCCCACCAGTCAAAAGCCTCAATAGGATCCTGTAATCTCTGTAGTTATCAAAGCGATCTATGAAAGTGATAGTCCAAATTCAACCAAAACTTGAATGGGGTTAAAAAATATCAGCCGTTCAGACATCTAAAACAGACATTCACTTGTCTTTTCTTCATTGAAAAATGTTATAGAAACATGTACACACAGGAATTCTGAGAATACAACAAAACGGCTAAACACTACTCTCAGACTTTGATAGGCCGATATTTAAAAAAAAGATAAATGCCATTTTGTTAAGCCATATTTTTTATAGTACTTTCGCTTCATGGTGAATGGTTTTGTACAAATTTTGATCTGCTCTGTTTCTAAAACTGGCAACTAATTTTTACACTGGTAGTGACTAGAGTCAGAAATTATTAATGTGTTGAGTGAATAAAGCAAATTGCTATGGTCTATTTTTAAATTCGCATAAACCTGATTGTTATACGTTCATTTATCTCTTAAACTTCAAATATTCTACCTATTTGAAGTTACGAAGTAACGCTACATATGATAAAAAAAATTGTTTCGATAAATTTCAGATTTTTAAACTTCCTGAGCTCTCTCAGTTTAATCACCTACTTATCGTATGGTTTTGTTATGTTTAAATTTATGCACAACGTTGAATGATTACCAGTCGATCTAACTTGTATTGCTAGGTAAATAAACAGAAAACATCATTTTCAGTAATTAAGTGTTACTCCAACTAAAGTACTTCTTTATTGCTTTTTTAGTGTAAAGCTTAATTGTCACTTTAAGAATAATATATGTGTAAATTAAAGAAAAGCCCCCAAATGCCCTGGTACGGCCGAAAGTGGGGAGAGACCGCTCTCCCTCTCGAAATGCTCTCACATGGCCATACGTATATAGCCTCTGCCAGGGAAGTCCTACTCACTGCCTTCTCGTGGCGGGGGTGTTGTTTACAAAAATGAGAGGACGAAAAGCGAATGTCCGGCGCTTTAACCGGATCCCAAACCAATGGTGCACATGGGCTCCAGTATCCTGCGGGAACAAATGGCGTATAAACCAATCGTTGGTCACCGGCTACCATGGGACTGCATCTCCTCACGATGCTCCACTGCCTTGTGGGTCAGACATTCAGGTCAAAGGCTCGGGGTGTGGCCCCCTAAGAAAACCACCTGCTTCGGTTTGGGCACCCGAGCAGTATTACAGCCCTCACACAAATCAATTGAGATTTGTGTGGCGCATATGTATTTGGTGCCTCCCATGTAAATTAAAGAAAAAGTTTTAGAAAACTTATAGCTGAAATCAGCCCTCGGAATCAATCAAAGACGAGTTGAGGATAAATATATTGTAGAGAACGAAAATTCAGATGGGAGAAGTTAATTTATTGTTTGATGCAAAATCACACTGGTTTGGCAATCTATAAAAATCATACATTAAATACATCATTTGCACATTTTCTTTGCGTTGTTCTTTACACAACATTGTTTCTCTAATTCTATTGAGATCCCGAATTTCTCCCTCTTCTCTTCATTTGAGTCTTTTACTGGTAGTCATTCCACTTCCAATTGCTGCTGCACACTACTTATATTTGTCAGCGTAAATAGCACACACAACAATATTACATTAAATTAATAGACTAAAAGTTACCAACGTATTGTAAGATGTATGGGTACATTTTAGATAACTTTGTTTATGTCATATATAGTTTAACTAGATGTTAATAATTCTCACTTCTACGGCTTACACTGGTACTCATCTAAAATTATTGCTTTTACTAAAGCATATGACTGTTAATAACTACAGTGGTACGCAAGTCTTTGAATCTGTATGTAGATGCGTAAGTAGTCACAGGCATCTCAGACCAGAACAAATTGTCAATTCTGGGAGTCAGTCACCTTTCATAATATAAACTCATAAAGTAATGCAAGAATGTTAATTTACCTAAAATCCAGTTGCAAACTTAATTGACTGGTAAATTTGTCGGAAATATTTAATGAAGTTCAGAATACTGATTTCAAGTTACAAAAAATTTAAAATTTGGTATTAATAAATGTAGCTGTTGGTTCATAGGTCGATGGAAGTTTTAACTAGTGTTAGGTATTCAGAGGTGGTTTGACTTAGTTTGCATTCCATGAATTAGTGCTTTGACACCGTGTTTGTGATGGGCAGTTATTATCATCATCGGTCTTTCCGGGATTGGCCAGTTGTTGCATGGAAGTATGTGATGATGTTTTGAAGTTCAAAATTACAAGTGTTGTACATGTCATACTGTCATGTGTAACAATAAATATCAGGGTGTTTATTGGTTTTTGCTTGAGGTTACGTCAACAACTTATTTATCTGAATTGTATTTTTCTTTCGAATACAAGTTATGAGACCGATTTTAGGAAGCGATTTTCCGCATATTTGGCTATAAAAAAAAGGCATTTTTTTGCTTTAAAAAAGATCCTCGTAACTAGTTATCTTTTTATAATGATATGTGATCTAAATATTAATCAATTGTACAGTCTTGATGAATCAAATTTATTGTAACGGGGGGTTTATGGGGGCGAAACTAATTTATGGTCGAACCAATCAGATATAAGATAACAGGTTCTGGGTTTTAGCTCGAAATTCATCCAGTCATTTGGCTAAATACTATTTCGGCATTATAGCTAATGTTAATTTGTGTTGAAAACCCCAAACCTAATTCCTAACCTTAACCATCAACTGTAAATCATAATTCTAATTCCCCTTATTATTTTATAACCCTCATTTAGTCCTAGATAGTAGGTGGACATTTTCAAGGTCATTTTGTCGTCACTTTAAGATCCTCCATAAATTTTCATTCATTTGATTCACCCCTATTTTTACTCCAATCCTTATTCATAATCACTAATTTTTATTTTCATCCATTTTGAAGTTTTCTAAAATAAAAATGTGTTATGGTATCAAGTAGAATGTTATTTTTCACATTTTATTTCCATATTTTCAAAACACTCATCACTGACCGTGGCATATTTAAGCGATGCAATAGTGGTTAAAGAGCTCTATTTCAGGGCTCAACTTATACTCCACTTGTTCAAATGTCTCGGTACCATCGCCTGATCTCACATATAAGGTGTAAGTAAACGTCGAGTACATGAGTTTGAATCCAATATCATACTTTACGTATAACCAAATAAGTAAACATTACTTTCGTTGGTTTCCATCCGATTCTATTTCAGATATCGATTTGCAAAATCTTAAGGTTTCGAAGCTCTTTTATCCGACTCAATAATTCGAATGAATTTTCAACATCAGTAATCAGATGTCGGAAATCTCAAATGAATTCTGAATCATTTCTGGAGTGTCGTAAACAAGCTATTGAAAAACTCCACAAATGGTTAAGTCCCAGTCAGCTTCCATTGAAATTTGCTGCTGGAGATACAAAAGATCCAAGTTGCAATTACGATTATACTAGTTATGATCCGACCACTTGGCTACCTTTGGTTCATTACAAACAAACAACATATTCACAACTTGATGAAATGGCTATTAACGCCTGTAAAGCACAAAAACAATGGATTGATTTACCATTACTAGAACGTGCCAAAGTGAGTCATATTTCTTCGCTAAGTATCATTTTCATTAGTTTCACTGACATCAAAGAATTATTACGGTTAGGTCCTACGAAGACCGAAATTATCCATGACCAACGGACCAAGTAATGTTTTTTTTTTATTTTCCAAAACTAAGTCCACTACTCACTAAACTATTGTATGAATGAAATATTTTGCCGTGATAAGAGAATGATCAAACTCAGACTCCTCAGTCTCGTGCTCTAACACTTAACTTATAGACCACTGAGTCAGCATCCAGTGATGTGTCTAACTTCAATCAATCCGCAACATTTCACGATCATCTTCCATTGTCTTTGGTAGGTAACTGCCTCACACCCGATAGGGTTTAGCTCCACTAGTCACAGCTTCTCACTAGATTTCAGGAGATTTCTCGAATCTAATCACTAGCGCTTTCGAGTTTTCAATGGTCGTCTAACTTAAACCGATCCATGATTCAAGTGAAATTCAACAATCTCCTTAATGCCACACTGACAAAATATTTCTGTTTTCCCTTATCTTGTATTTTCACAAAGAATGACTGGTAGAATATAACGGTGGATTATGACCTGAACAATGAAAACTGAGAAAACGATTTCGCTATAGTACACGTTTTCTGTTCTGTTTCATAATGTAATACAAATCACGGTACTGTACTTGGAGCTTTGAATGAATGAATCTTTCGGTGAAAGTCATTCAAGATGGTTTCTTCACAAACAAGCATATTTCCTATTTCTTACTCATAATTTAATTATCCCGTTGTATATATATCGCGAATAGTTAAATAATGCTCCTTGTTTGGAGTGAAAGAAAGCTACAAGATAGAACAAAAACCTGTGGCCTAAAGAACTGATTCAATAATTAAACGGCCATTCGTTAATATTTCAACGCTAACAATCATCAACTCTACTGCTATCATTTTAACATTCTGGTTTCGTCATACGCTGCAATTTTGTCCTGTATTATTCAATATAAGAAGATTGATTATTAGCTCCATGATTATTGTTTAGTTTCGCTACTGTACTTTATTAATAGAGCCCTCCAAAGGTTATTAGTTATCTATGTAAAAGTGATGACTAATTATTGTCATCACCTTTTAAGCTTTCCCTTGAATTAATACATACTACTCTATAATCTGAAATTAGTCAACTATATGTTATGCCTTATGATATATCTTACTGAGTG